CATTCATACCTCTATATGTATATGTATATTAACCTCTTTACAAATATTCTGATGTATAGCCAATGCATTTTCTTTTGAGTGTAAGTCGACAAATGAGTTCTGCAACATTTTTCTTGCACCTAAAAATGTAAGTCTTCAGATTTAAAATTTTACTTTCTTTAAAATGAACTGTGAAGGAATTGAATACAAAAATCTTAGAAATCTGGCATTTTTCTAGCCTTTCCAAAGCATTACACCTGTTCTAAAAAATTAGAAATGCCTTATCTTTTATATTTATATTTTGATGGTCCCATAGTATTTAATTAAATTGTATATCAACAATAAGTGCAATTCTCTAGTCATATAAACTTAATGAATGATCAGCATCACTGGTTGCAATAGTCGATTTTAGTATAGAGTTTATTTTCTACTGTGGTTAGTTGTTGGATCACAACTCAGTCTTCAAAGAACCTGCCTGTCAGGTATGTTAGGCAGTGTAGCTTACTAACCAGTTCTTGAGACATAGTCCTCTGGAATGAAGGTGACATACCAGTGCTTGTACAATGAAGGATTTTGCCACAGTTGATGAGCAAAAATGCCTTTGCTACTGAGTTGATTGACTCATAAGTAACCCAATAGGAAACAGTAGACCTGTTCCATAGTTTACAATTGTACATCTTTATGGAAGCAGATTGCTCCTTCTTTCTCTTGTGCTGTGAATGGTGCGTTCGAACAGCTGACCTTCTGATTTACAGTCAAGGATTTAACCACTGTGCCATTAGGTTCTTTACAAGTACAGTAAGAGCTCCACAGTTTCACACTTGAGTGCATGTAAATCAGATGGGTGGCAGCCAAACTCCATAAATATCTCCTTATTAGCATTGCTCCAAGACTCAGACTTTTAAAAGATAATATCTACCCCAAAGAGCCAATTCATAATGAATTTATCTGTTGACACTTGAGCCTGAGGCTCCTGAATTATGTTACCTTAGAAGGCATTTAACTCAGTCATAATAAAATCAACCTAAATAGATTCTAGTTGGATCACGACATGACTACACATGACTGACACACAGAGAACACTCAGGTTTACTTCTTATAAAACATGCTTTACTGAAGTTCATTTATAAAATATCTGATGATTTTTTTTTTCAAAGAAATATAAGAAGTTGTAAGAGCAATACTTGCTCCTGGATGTTCACATCTAGAGTAACAAATTGAGAAACAATATATTGTACACATAAGTGGGTGCTAGTGTATATTTCATAATACATATTAAAGTAATAGAGACACATTACTTTTCAAAGAAATATCAAATATGAATGTGAGCTGCCATCTGTATTATAAAATATAACATAATATTTATGTTATATATATTATTTCAAAATTAGTCTTTTTATTCCATGAGACATGTTCAAGGACAATGCCTTACTTTTAACACAAAGATGGGTACACAGTTAGTGTTAACTGAATTGAAATAAAAGTTGGCATAGTTATCAATTCCAGAATGCAGCTTTTTAAATTCAAGTCCAAAGTTATAAACAATAAAGAGATGAGACTAATAATAATAATAAATGCTTTCTTTTGTACATTCGGGGTCTTGCCAGGTTTAAAATATGAAGCCAAGCATCAGAATCCTACTTCTGGCATAAGAATATCAGATATCTATACATAGGTTGATCAAAAAGAAAAAATATTAGATTTCCTAAAATACTGGTTTTTAAATTACTCTATCAGATGTCCAAGGAAAGTTATCAGATATAAGTACAAAATCTTTTAAATATCTAAATATAGAATATTCTCCAGTCTATATTTTTTAAGGCCATTACTATCAAATGTTTTTCTTAAGAAATATCTGATGGCTCTATAAACAGTAAGTGCTCAGAAATTCATTATATAACCTTCATATTTCCTTCACCAATTATCAATTATATATTTTCTCTAAAGAGAAAAAAACTTAATCAAATAATTAGAATACCATTTAGGATTTTTTTAAATTGTGTTTCCATGTTGATAAAAATAAGGCTTTTTTGATAAGAAAAGAAATTACAGACCACTATAACTGCATCACTAACATATAATTTTAGCTTTAAATATGTCAAGTATTCTGTATTTGAAATTTAATTTTATAACTATGCAAGATTAGTGAATTATGGTAAGAAAATACAAAGACTAGCATAAGGAAAGGAAAAAATACCTTTTTCAACACATAGCAAATTATAACGCTTTTTTTTATCACTGTGTTTGGAAAATACAGTATAGTTATTTAAGGAAGACTTAAGTGCTTCAGGTGGAGTGGGCTTTGACTAAGAAATATTTTTTTTAAATTTACAAGAAACTGAAGAGTTAGAAATACTCCTCTTCCTGACCATTTAGTTTCATGTTTAGGAGACATTTGACAGACAAGTTACACAAAAGGCAAAATAGTTAACCTATATTTTTAAATAATAAATTCTAGATCTATAAAAATTTTCTGGATTGTGCACAAAGGTCAATGTTTGACCTTCGTTGGTCTATTTCTATGGAATTAAAAAAATACAGTATCAAAATTTTCTCCCTCCCCAAAAAAACTAGAGGGAATATTTTTCATTGTAAGTGTGTGGATATAGCACTTGCATATTATTAAATATACAAAATACATAAACATCACTTTACTAGGAAAATTATTTTCTCCATACTGTAAACATCTCTTCCCCTACACCTACACATATGAAAATAGTCTTTGGTATTATTAATTATTGTGCTTTGAAACAGAAATTTAAAGGATTTCTGTAGCAGTGCTATGTAGACATTTTAAGATATAAATAGGAAAAAATGCACTTGGAATAAGTTATAATTAGCTGCTTTTGCATAATTTTCAAAAAAAAAAAAACTACAGTGTATGCCTAGTCACAGTTTTATGAGAAAGAATACCTTCTTTTTCAACTCCTTAATTTTAAGGAACACTTAATCATTTTGGCTAAAAATCCATTTTTGGAGTGGATCTGATGGATTGCATGACACTAAACTTGGATGCTCTCCATTTGCTGAAAGGCACATTTTTAAGAACGAATTATACAGAAGTTGATCCTACAATAAAAAGAAAAATAAAGTAAGTTTTAAGACTCACAGTTAAGTAATAAATGTAAAAACAACTTTACAGTCTCATCAAAGTTAAAGAGTGACTTGCAAAACAAATATACATCATCCTTAACTTTAAATCACTAACAATAACTATGACAGAATCTTGGTTTCTGGTTTAAACAACACCTTGGACTGCTAACCACAAGGTCAGTGGTTCAAACTCACCATCTGCTCCTCAAAAACCCTATATAGGGTCTCTAGGAGTCAGGACTGACTCTACTGCACTTAACGACAATTCTTATCAGTAAAATTTAACTCACAAAAGGTATCATATAAATAAGAGAGTAGACAGAGCAAACTCTGAATAAACTTTTCAAACAAGAACCATTCTATTTATAGATATATAAATGGTCAATTCTTTAAAAACTATCAAAATCCTAAAAGTCAATCCTTAAGGTGTTCTAATTGTGTAAAATAATTTTCAGGTAAGAATCATCATGCTCCAATGAAATATTAGAGCATGTGTATAAGACAGAAAAGATTTCTCTGCATTCTCTCTTATATATAGATTCTTAAAAAAAAAAAAAAAAAAAAAAAAGTGGGGGCGTGTACTAAAACAGAACAGGAAAAAATGAATCATGTTAGGTGATTTTAAAAAATTATTTTTTTCCTTTTTGCCAAACAAACAAAGAATTGCCCATTGCAGAAAGCAAGTAAGAAACCCTCAAAAGTAAAAAAAATAATAGTAATTCTCAAAAGTGTTGATCTGAATAAACCTAACTTTAACAAATCAGCTTTACAAGTACTCTGATTCTTGGTGTGTTTAACTTATAGATGTTAAAGATGTTATGCATGTGCACACACACACATAGGTAGATAAAGTTAACAAAGGTAGAGAAATTCTAGTGGACAGTATTAATATATTGTATTTTACACATTTTCACAGATAAGCAACTGCTGTTTTTGTTGTAGGGTTCAGTCAGATTCTATCGCAACTCTTATTAAGCCATGTGACAAAGCAGAACAACCACATCGAATTTTCTTGGCTATAATCATGACTGATATAGATCACCAGGTCTTTCATGGAACTGCTGGACAGGTTGGAATTTCCAACCAGGGGTTCGCAGCAGAATTCTTAAACATTTGTGCCATCAGTGCTCCTCAGATAAGCAATTAGAGCTAAAAAATAATGACATAAAGGGATGGGCTAATTGCACTAAAGTACCTTCTGGATCTCCCATATCTGTTCTCCAGCAGTGACTGTATTGTGACCTTTATAGGCACATGTCCTCAGCTGAGCGGGACCTTGAGCAGCATGAAGACATAATTCCTTCTGGATGTTATGCCGAATTTCATGTTGAGCTGAATATTCAAAGTACTATGAAAGGAAGAGCACTGTTACCAACACAAGAATCCTATATGCTCAGTTGCAAAATAATGACCCAATAAAATATCAGCAATTTATTGAATATATAAATCATTTCTACTTCAACAAAGTTATACAATAAAAAGTCATCAGAAACATGATTTTATATAATAAATATGATATCAAAATGTCTTGGAGCAAGCAGGGAATTTCAGCTTACACAAACAAACAAGACAGAAAGCTTCAAACAAGTCACCAAATTACAGATTCAAAAACATAACACCAAAATGGTATCAGAACTACCTAATAAGGAATTTTAAATAATGCTAATTAGACAACTTCAGCAGACTGAGAGAAAGATCAAAGATGAAATCAAGGAAAGCAGACAAAATCAGGAAACAAAATTGACAATATAATTGAAAAAATAGTAAGCATATGAAGTCAGCAATTAGAAAACCAGAATATTAATGCTAACACTTCAAAAATAGGTAATACACTGAAAAGGTAAAGAAACAGAATTGAATCAATGGAAACTTAAATTACTGAGCATGAATAAAATCTCTTAATATTAATGTGCTAGAGGAAAAATCAGAACAAAATAACAAAAAATTCTGAAGAAAGTCTAAGATTTATATGGGGCATTATCATGTGTGATACAAATTCTAGAACACAAAGACTTAAAAAAATAATATATAAAATATTGTCTTAAGATGTGTTAGAAGAAAACTTTCCTAACATTATGAAAGATAAGAAGACAGCCATTCAAGAAGCTGAATGAACTCCAAACAGGATAGATTCTAAAAGAAACTTGTTTGATTATAATCAAACTATTCAATACCAAAGTCAAGGAAAGAAACCAGAGGACAGCTCAAGAAAAATGAAAATTTTACCTACACAGTAAAACTAATAAGACTAAACTCTGATTTATCTGAAGAAATCATGCTAGCAAGAAGACAATGGAATGGCATATATAAAAACTGAAAAAAATAAAAGCCAAACAAGAATCATATATTCAGCAAAATGGTCTATCAAATATGACAGCAAAATTAGGTCATTTTCAGACAAACAAATTAAAATAAATTGTAAAAACCAGTCCAACATTGCAAAAACTACCAAATGGAGTTCTTTGGACAGAGAACCAACAATAGTGGACAATAACCTGAAGCTAACTTACATGACAATATCACCTAAACTCAACTCAGATATAGAAGTATGTGAAGCAAAATAGACCTATAATAAGGTTGAAAAGAGAGAACCAGAGATGCAGTTGCAACAACAAAAACACAAAGTAAAAAGAAAGAATACTATAGATACAGATCTTCCAAATGAAGAGGAAATCAAATAGATTTAAATAAATAAATAAAAATAAACCTAACTGTAATCCTTAATTGTACTTCTGAGGAATCTGTACCTGGACCAAGAAGCAGTTGTTCGAACAGAGCATGGGAACACTGAATGTTTTAAAATTGGGAAA